TAATGTCAGTTTGAATGGGTATCTCCCACATGAGCTTCGTCTGATCGTTCTCTTTGACTTGTGGCTGTATTAGTGTTTCTTGCCACCAAAGCTTCGAAACCTCGATGTTGTGTTTCCTTGCCAGACACCAATGTACATACTGAACCAAGCTATTATGACGTTTGACATAGTAGGTGCCAGCCAACTTTTCGCAACCAGAGATAATATGTTGTGTCGTTTCATCTTTGCTAGCGCATAACCGACATTTACCATCCATGCTCAACTTTAAGATGTCTCGTTGATGTTGTCGTGTCATAACAGCCTGGTCCTGTACGGCAAATAATGCTGATTCGATTGTAGGTGATATTTGTTGTTTTTTTATCCATTTAAATGACTGTTCTTTATCTATATTTGCTTGGTCCAAAACTAATTTCGGAAACTGTCCATGTAATTGCTTATTTCTCCATTTGTTATTTTGTTTCGTAACTATTGCTTGTTTGATTTCTTTATTTGTATGTGTATTATTCTGTGGTAGTTGTAGTTCTCTTTCTAATTCTCTAGCTTCTTTTATTATTGAATATTTATCCCTATTTTTATCATGTTGCACTATAACCTTTATTAAATCGTCATCCTCTCTATCTAGATACTGTTTATATTTAAGCATTTGAGTTTTATACATATTTTCTATATTTATTAAAGCTCTACCTCCCTCTATTATAGGTAAATATAGTCTTTCTATATCTGCTTTATGTCGCTGTGCTTTCTTAATTGCTAATAATTTCCTAGTTTTTATATCGATTGCTCTTAAATCACTATTTTTATAATTAATTATTCCAAATGAGTACATAAGAACTGGTACTGCGTATGTATTTATCCCTTTCATTATATTGCGTGAATTTAAATGTGTGTTCAGTAACTTCTTCACCCTTTTCATATATTCTTTGGTTATTTGTTCCCTAATCAAACTATGTTCTATTTTCCCTGATTCGTGTATGCCTAAATATTTATATGTTTTATCTATTCCTAATTGTTCAAATGTATCTCCACTCAATAGTACATGTCCTACTCCTATTGCATTATTTCTATGTCCTGCTCTAATATGTATTGTGTTGCATTTATGTAAACCGAAACTCATGCCAATGTCGTTCGTAAAGATTTCGATGCTGTCTAATAAAACTTTTAAATTATTTTTATTGTTAGCATATACTTTTAAATCATCCATATACAATAGGTGATTTATCCAGAGACTATCTTTGAGTTTATATCCTTTTAGTTCATATTTGTTCAAAATGAATGAGAGCGGATTAATTGCTAAGCAAAACAACAACGGTGATAGAGAATCTCCTTGAAATATGCCACGTTTTATATAAATCGGTTCAGTAGTTATTGATTCATGACTGCCGCGAGCTGTCATAATCACGTTCCATGTAGGCATTGCAATTTTAATGAAAGTCTTAATTGCAGGTGGACATTTGTAAATATCAAGGATTTTCAGAAGCCATTCATGAGACACACTGTCGAATGCCTTCTGATAATCGATCCAAGCCATACTCAAATTCTTCTGGGACAGATGTGAGTCCTCTAAAATTGCCTTATTGATCATAAGGTGGTCTTTGCAACCCCGAGCTCCACGTCGGCATCCTCTTTGTTCTATCGCCATGATGTTGTTGTCCTGACAGTGATTGTAAAGTTGGTTGGCTAATATTGACGTCAGTAGCTTGTAAGTACTAGGTAAACAGGCTATTGGTCTCCAGTTTTGGGCATTTTCTGTGTTTTCATTCTTTGGAATTAAAATCACTTGTCCTGTAGTAAACCACTCTTCTAACTGTTCCCTACCTGCTATGATATTTGTGAACACTAAAGCAATATATTTATGTGTACTGGTAAGATATTTTACGTAGTAGTTTTGTATTTGATCTATTCCCGGAGTCTTCCAATTGTGTAACTTCCTAATTGCTGTTTTTACGTGTTCTTCTGTAATGTCTTGTGATTCGGCTGTACTTATCCTGTTTACTGAAGCTTCTACTTCTTTTATCCATTTTGCATCTTGATTGTATTGTATAGGATTAGACAATATGGATTTCCAAAAATCTTCTACGCAATCTTTACTGGGTAGTTTTATATCAGTGTTTGTACTATTGCTTCCTAGGCTTCTGTATAATCGATGTTCGTTTTCGCTAAATAGTCTATTTTGGATTTTTCTATTGCTAATTTCTTCATATCTTTTTATTCTACCAGCTAGTGCTTTAATCTTCTGTTTCAGTACCTCTTCTGTATTAGCGCGTTCATTCTCATTTTGTATATTGTATTTATTAAATAGTTTTGCTTTTATATTAATCATTCTACGAGAATTTACACCTCTACCTATTTCCACAAGCTGTCCTAACTCCTTTCTAAATTTTTCTAATCTACTTTTTATCCTTTTTTTCCATGGTGGATCTGATATAGCTTTAATTATATTTCTTGGTATAAATGGCAGTTGTTTGTTATTAAGTATTAATGTTTTGGCTGTAGCGTATATAATATTATTTAATTCTTTCAATGTATCGGTAGTAATTAGTAGGTTTGGCAAAAAGCTATTGAGCGTATGTAGGTTTTGCAAGAATTGTCTATTTATTTTAGCTTTGGGTAAGTGGTGCCTATCTTTTATTGGTGTTTCCCTAGTTTCAGCTAACACTTGTAGTAAATTCAATATTAGTGGGTCCTGGTCTTCATTAGCTGTCACATTTGCAGTTAATTGGTTTATTATTTCTTCTTGTTCTGTTGTAGGTTGTGTGTTTGTATGTGTTTTGTGCTGTACTGTTTCGTGGTGAGTTTGTGTATGAGTTTCTTGTTGCCTGTTTAAATCTGTTTCATGTTCAGTGTTTATATGTGTTAAATGTTGATTGTCTATCTGTGTTTCATGTTGTGTGTTTGTGTGTGCTTGATGTTGTAAATTTATAGGCAAATTGTGTTCTGTATTACTTTCTTCGGCTTCATGTTTTATGCGGTGCAGTAGTTCTTGTGATAAAACATTTTGTTTGATAACTCTACGTGCCTGATTTGATAATGTGTTACCGTTAAATTTGTCGATTTTTGGGTTAGTAGGGTTTCTGTCTCTAAATAATGTGTATAGTTTATTGATATAACCGGGTCCCTGTGATTGTGCTTTAAAGAAACAAAACATCAACTCCCTTAACTCTTCTGTCGACCATTTTCTCCTTCTATCATCATTTAGTACTTGAATGGTCTCCCCAGACGAACCGGCAGAGTGTTCAATGGGCGTAGAAGCCCCACTCCGCAAAGCACCATCTGTACCTACCCCTCCCCATTGATCGGCTGTAGTCCCTTCGGGTCCCCCGGCTCTCGCCCGCCTGTTCAGCAAAGAGCCGCTGACGGTCCGTATGCTGTCACGTCCAGCGTCAGCTCCAGACGTGCCCCGACGCTCGCCCCCGGGAAGCGGCCCTATACGTGAATTATTTCTTTGTCTCTCCATAATGAAGGTGTCCATTGCCATGTTTGCCGCGCCAGTAGTATATTATCGCGTGTCCGCCCCCCACGTAAGTCTGATCTTCGACTTGGACGTATGGTTGTATTAGGGGGCATATTATATTATATTATATTATATTATATTATATTATATTATATTATATTATATTATATTATATTATATTATATTATATTATATTATATTATATTATATTATATTATATTATATTATATTATATTATATTATATTATATAATATAATATTATTGCACAACAAAGAATTTTTTCACAAACAACATAATACATGAAATTAGTAATTTTAAAAGGTATATTATAATATCTTTTCAATATCGTGTTCCTTAGTAGAATAAATAAATATTTATTCATAAAATCAATATACGAGTATATTTCATAGTGTTTCCTTTTTTAAATATTCTTATTTTATAATTTCTCCTAAAACAAGGAACGGTTGAAAAACCGCTCGTGTATTTTAGTGTATTTTAATGTTGCAGGGTTCCCAATCCTTAACCCAGCGAGCTCCTGCCTGATACCGAGTCCTTCCCTCCTGGAGGGTAGGGTAAGGCTTTTAGGCTAGTTTACTCTTGCATTAAAAAATAGGCTCCCCCTAACAATGATTATGGTGCACAATAACCTTATCCTGGAGTGGCTCAATAGCGCAGTGATTATAACGTTCGGTTTGCGATGTGAAAATTAAATTACTTTAGGGAGAGCCGATCATAGGATGGATGATCAAACATTTACTATCCCGAGCTCATTCGTGCTTCAAAAGGCACTCTAAGCTGTTGGTAAATCACGTGAACTATTCTCCCCACTTTGATTCGATTCTATTCCATTGATGGGGAAGACCTAGAAACCTTAGTAGGAACATTAATAGGCTGATGATGATAATATATAGGCTTTCCCCTTAGAGGTGGAGCTGAAATCGTCGTAAAAAACGGAACGAGTAAAGCGAGTATTCAAACATCCGACTTCGAACCTTATTCCAAAGGGTTCACTTTTATTTGCCAATGGTATATTTACAAATATAATTTTATAATTCCGAATTAACTTTCCATACATGGGATTTCTATAACAATGGCTAGTTTACTATACGACTATTTTTTATTCGCTTTATACGAGTGTATAATATCCATATTTCCTACTATACTATAAAGCAGGTAGCTAACAAAATTGACTCGAGAAATTACTTATGCAGTTGTCTACATAACACCTAACATTATAACTCACAATAAATACACGAATGCAACTCTCTTCGACGAATACAATAAATAATAACGCGCTAGCAATTAATTGTAATAAGAAATATAAAAATCATTATATAACATATAATTATACTTAAAGCTTATACGTTATCGTGACACAGTAGTAACTGGAAGGTAAACGACATCACGTGGGCAACCACATAAAACATCAGAAAATTCTAAAAATTTAACTGGTTGGCCTTTATACGTGGCATTTGGAAGACGTTCCGAATTAGAATAAAATTAAGAAATCGGTACAGATATATAAGCCACAAAGGCGGCCAAAACATCATCATTCATTCTTTGTTTTTAGAAGTAAACACCATCCGTACATCTAACATGAAACTGGTTAGTAGTATTTGAGCGGTTGTATTTACGCGCGTACATACACTGTGCTTTCTTTAACTCCGTGAATTGGTTTAGTTTTGTGTTGTGTTCGACTTTTGTGTTGTTTTAAGTATAAAATATATTGTGATTTGTTTTTGTAACAGTGATTGTTGTTAGTGTGAATAGAGTCATTTGATAAATTAAACGATCACTTACTATTTGTTTCGTGGATCTCCACCAAAACAAATGCTGATTGTTTTATTAGTTAAATTGAATAGTTAAGTGATGTTACGGTCAAAACGGATAATGGACCCTATATAGATTCAGCAAAATAGGATGTACATAATAAATCTCAACAAGCAAAGCTTGTTCTCCTATGACAACAACTTAAAAACTTTCGCATTAAAGATTATAATTCAATCAAAAACTATTGCTCTATCGGTAATGTAATATGGAAAAATATGAATTAAAAAAAAAGGATTTTAAAGCGAATTATTTTGGTTAACATGTTTTTCTTTGTAAGCTTTTAAATGTTTTCTATATTCAGAAAAAAATACAATTATTTGTACTGTAGAGTTATTAATCATATCTTAAATAACGTAGTTCAAATATTATTGTATTTGTTATATCTGTAACAATATGTTTTTATTTATTTTTTTCAGTTGGTTATCCTGTCTCTAGCTGCCTTAGCAGTAGCAGCACCTCAACGTGGTCAACAAGCTGAAGTTTTAAGATATGAAAGCGACAATATAGGTTTAGGTGGCTACAGATACGCGTAAGTAACTTAATTATCATGTCTCAAGAGACCCTTAATAAGTCACTTGCTTGGAGCTTTTCTGTATTAATTCTTACTGTTTTTATAACTGTTTATTTAGTTTACTTCATGATATAAATGAGTGATTTTTGACTTTACAAGTCATTTCACTCTTCTCGAAATTAATGGGTTTCTACGAAAACGCAATTTTGTGCAAAATTTTACATACAATACGAGTTGCGTTATATATTTTTTTTTTACATAAAGAGACTATTCAATAAATACCTAACAACTATATACGGCACGTCATATAAATTTTGTTTTATAAATATTTTTAATTCTTAAAAGAAGCAAGCGTTTCATTTTAAATACTAAGACAGCATTGAGAAATATACGCCCAACAATAAATATTTTCTTTAATTGTCGTACATTTCTCAATGTAATAATATCTGACAGTCAATGATATCTATTTTATTTTAAGTTTATATTTATATTATATTTAAGTAAAAAGGTTTTTTGATAAGTTCGATATATTAATTAACAATTGATTACAGCCCAGATTTGTAAACTATTAAACAAAATATATTTTTTCTACATCAGATATAGTAACTGTACTTTATCCAAACTACAGAGAAACATTGTAAGACTTTTAACAATAAATAGCAATTATTTATATAACAAAAAACAACACCTCACAATAAAGTTCACTGTACTGCTCCGATGTAAGATTTTAGTTTGCAAGAAAGTTAGCTAGTCGTTGTGGAGTCGTCGGTTTGCATTTTTATAGATGTCTACACTTCAGTGCAAACTCTCGTTAGTCCTCAGTATTTTTTGTTTATTGAGCGCGATAATTTTTGGATATATATATATAGCATCATCATTACGAATCGATGATGCTATATATGTATCAAAAAATATACGAAGCTAGGAAGTTATGTAGGAATCCCACTATTATATTCAATCATTTTTTTATTCAATCATTCAGTTATAAGATTGTTAGACAAATTTAAATTAATTTATTATTAAGACAATTCGGCGCCATAATTAAGCATTATATTCTTGTCCAAACCTTTAACGAAATACGGTTTGTTTTTAAATTTAAACAAAAGCTCCCATGGCATTGCTGTACCACCTCATCGTAATTAACATGTAATTGAAAACATATCCGTGCATATTTATAGAACAACATTTTGTTATACAAGGTTATATAATATTCCTTTTAGATTTTATATATAGATTTAAAAAAAAATGTAACAGTTAATTTGAATCAACACAACATCCTGTTCAGATAAAACTGTTGTTTTAAAAAAATTGACAATGTACTCACACACTGACACATCTATGACAATCTATGACTATGTTTCTACTGTTTTGGTACTTTAATAAAAAAGTAACAGGGTGCTGAAAACTATGAATATTTTGTAAATAAAATCATAATAGCAAAAATTTAACGCAACAATATTAAAAGATTTCGTTTGCTATGCTATAGAAATCATTAATATAGATTACGCTAAATTAACCTTGTAAAAAATTGCTTAAGATATTCCACTGACTCAGGTGTTCAAGATGGGAAACTGACGCAGCTGGTCATCTCAAGTTTTATTCTAATTTCTATAGATCAGTAGAATATGCACCATTTTACAAATAAATATACCAATAAGATGTTAATTTATTTAAAAATTTAGTGAAAAATAACTTCAAATTTTACAATAAACCTTTTTTTACAGTTTCGAGACATCGGATGGTACGAAACACGAAAGCCAAGGTGAGATCAGGAACGAAGGTCGCGAAGACGAATATTTAGCTGTCAATGGTGTGTACTCCTGGATCGCACCTAACGGTGTCAGATACACAGTGAAGTACGTGGCTGATGACAATGGATACCAACCTGAGATTGAAGAAGCACCTGGAGCCCCAGGACCTATCGTTGCCTCTCTCTTAGGATAATTTAGAAACATTTATTAGATGCTCAACCAAATCTACATATTATATTTGCTTTTGTTACAGCGTACTATCGCATGGTTATTTTAAAACTTAATTCATTCAGAATATTTTCGAATCTTATATACAAATGAAGAAAATTCATATTCATCTGTTTTTGTGAAATAAGTGGATATAAAAGATATTTGTAAAATTTTGTAAAGATACGAATTTGTTTAGAATCGATGTACGCAATAACAAGTCAAATTGTAAAAACAAAGAAAATTTGCGTAATCGCGTTATAGCGATCTCTGTCAGCATTAGAAGATATGAATTTATTAAAAGCGCCACCAACCCAATTTTATTTGTTAAAAAAATCAAAGATGCGCTTTTAAATAATTTTCATAGAACCATCGAGATTTATAAAGTATTGTACATACTCGTATTTTATGTATTATAATAATGCATAATAAGTACTCGCATAAAACTGTTACGTAAAATTGAAAATTTTTAGAAAAAAAAATAAAAAAGTTAAACATACGTGTCTTTTTATTGATTGACCTATGAAATTGGTTAAATAAACCAAATACCAGACAAAAAAAAAAACAAAAATTCAAGGACATTTTGTTCTATTTCAATGTTCAGTTTTATAATTTACCAATTACCAATAACACTATTAAGCGACACATATAATAATAATAAATTTATTTCCCAAAATGATTACATATACATTTACAAGATTTTTCTGGCCCCACACTAAGCTAAGCCTGACCTATGGCGGGCTTTGTACCAGTTACAGTTTTTAAAATAACACTACATACGGCACAACACCAAATACATGACATTACTTACTTCATTACATTATGTACTTAAACATGCTTCTAGATAGCTTTTTGTTTTCATATGGATTTGAAATTGTCCATGCATGCTTTAACCTTTGAAAGCTTTTGCACTAAGACATTAAGATCTAATGAAAATGGATGTTCTTAGCAATATTCTTTAATAGAAATATAATTATATTATTCCATTATTTTGTATACAACGTTAGATTACGGTGGTAGAAATTTCAGTCCAAATAATGTTATGGCCGTAGATTCAGGTTCTCTCTTAATTATTTAAAAGTATATTGTAGGTAGTGATTATGTTGGGTAAGCATCATGTTGGAGTCCCGATCTATTTATCATTTTGGATATCATTTTTATGATCAGTGGTTACTCCTAATATTACAATTTCAGGACAAATAGTACTTTAGTAGGTGGTTGTAGTCCTACTGGTGATAAAAATAGTGCCTTTTAAAGAGTTGCTATTACCAGTAGCTATACTGTCAAAACGTATATTTATCAAATTATTACATAGAAAACAAACAAAACTCCCCTTTTTTTCACTTACTTTTTTCATTAATGAAATAATACTCTTTTTTATAGGGGACAAAGATTTATAAATATTCGAGTCACTTGTAATCGAAAGGTTAACGTAGAACTTTTACGTAATCAAAATACTTTGCAAGTAATTGATTAAAATATTTTTTTGACATGCTATACGCCATTTCAACATATCTTAATAAGCTGCGTGTTGATTTATTTTCGGTTGCTCTTTTTCATTAACGCCCAGTCCCAATTTCAAAAAGCCCTATTACACATATTCTATTTTATTTGATAATAGAAAATAATTCTATGAAGTTATCTACCAGATATTCAAAACTGACTCAAACCATTGTAATTGTAGCTTTCCTAATATCTTCATAAAGTCAGATTGGTTTTTGAACACGTTTATTTACTTTTTTTAATATGAATTTATTTTAAATTATAATAATAATAAGTAAAACAATCTCATAATACAATAACATGCTAAGTGTATAACAAAACAATTAAGTAATTCCATATACTATTATTGATAATGCAGACCTAATTAAATGAATTATTAGACAGTTAAGCTGCTGCTCTAATGACAAGCAATAATTTAAACGATACACTGACTGCTTTCTTCCATAGATACTCAAATTCACTAATGCGCAAGCTTGAAATGCCATTAGAAACATTGTACACCAACTTATTTCATACATCCAAATCAAGTACCTATTCTATCGTCACACCATAACAATTTACATCAATCAGGCCGTGTTTGTTAAAACGTAATATGCACGCTATTATAATTAAAAAGAGTTGCGAAAACCCATGACATGTGTCCTCAGAAGATGCGCTCACCTTCGTCGTGTCGTAGGAGTGGTCAAACACAAAAACATTGTAACGATGTACTATACGTCAACTAACGAATGTTGCAATATTATATTCCAGGTAGTATAAAACATCACTTAAGGTACTATACCTGTACATATATACTTTATATCTCGTTACGATCACATAGATTTATATCATGAAGCTGGTGGGTAATATTGTACTAGTATATTTCAAAATATTTGTTTAATATTTCATTTATTGCCGACAGTGACTTGGATTGTTTGCTTTATATGTATGCAGTAATAATCATTTAAATAAATTTAATCAAATTGATTTAATGTTTAGGATGATTAATTCATTTATTTTTCGTATGTTTTCAATCTATTATTTGTTTATAGTTAGCAATTTTGGCTCTTGTCGCTGCCGTCGCTGCAGCCCCTCAGAGCAACCCTGAAGAGATTCAGATCCTTCGTTATGAGAGCGACAACGATGGGTTGGGCACTTACCATTTTGCGTATGTATCTAAAGTTCCGTGTTTTATTTTATAAATTTATTTCCACATTTTGATTACAAGTACTTTAAGTCTCATAATATCAAAATACTAAATGTCAAACCAACAAACCAACCTACACTTATTGTTCATATAAAAATATAATTAAAAATCAGTACCATAACGGGGTACATAAGGCTCTCATAAAAATTACGATTCGTTTGTCAATGGAAATGGCAAGAACAATTTGAGATACAAAAAATGTTTCTATGCGTAAAGCTTGAGAACAGATGTATTAATAAGACTTTTTTTTTATAATTATACATTGGAGTCCGGGGAAGGTTGTAATGGTAAAAAAAAATGATATTATTAGATATTTCCTCTTATAGGAAATAGAAAAAAATTTAAAATACTCTTTAATTTTTAATTTACAATTCCAATTCTGTTGAAGATTATTTTCATTGTAATATGTATATGCGAAATCATTATTTAGATACTGAAAGAACTGTCTCATCTTCAAAACTACTGGCTTGATATTTTGATTGCAATTTTAATGGGATCCATCGATAGCATAATCCTTAAAATGAAAAAAAATCTCCTTCAAATATAATACCTCCACCATTTTCAGGTTAGTCAAAAACGTATTTTTTTTTACAAACCAAAGCATTAAAATAAATTTAATAACATGAAAAGGCATAGAGAAAAGTAATTTGTGAGCATTTTTTATATCTTAATTTATTTAGATTTTAAAAAACTAAATTGATAGAAAATAATCATGAGCCATGTTAATTCCTCGAAGATTATCCAAAATATACTCTAAAAGAAAAACTTCTGATGTTTTTCCAGTTTCATCAAAGGAAATGACTGAAAATATAAATAGGTTAAAAAATAATAAAACAAGATAATGTGACTAAAGTGGCGAATCTAAAACAAAAAAGAGAGCAAAACAGTTTAAACCTTTTTAATCATATCTTCGCAGTAAAAAGTTTTGGATGTAGATTTACGAGTCAAGAGCATAGTTTACGACTTTCACAAGCCTAGATTGAATAATTTTGATTTGATTGTATCTACATAATACTATAATTACAGTAATAACTTGAATTATCAAAATATTGATCCATTCAATCAAATAACAAAAACCAAATGGCACAAATCATAGTTAATTTTAAGCAAGCCGACTTTGAATTAATTTCTACTAAAGTTCGATCTCATTATGAAGAGCAAACATCCGTCATCATTAGTTGAATATAAAAATAATCATCGTTCCATAATTCGCGTAGTGATGGTAAACGACCTCGACCTTTCACCGTATAATATTTTTATAACATTGAAATTAAACGTTACAACAGTTGTGTGTACTTTAAAATACCACTCGGTCGAATGAGCACATGTTGATGAGTAACATAGAGACAGGTAATTATTTAGAATCTCTATCTATATTTCTAAACAAAACTGTCGCAATCTATCCTACTGGCAATTTATTATTTAGCGCCATAATTAACATTGATAATATAACTAAGTATATGATTCAACATAACGTATTTACATATGCGTTAATTATTTGAGATCGAGCATCGTAAAAAATCTTTATTTAAAAGACAAATAAAAAAGAGAAAAAACAAAGTACTCGAAAAAGCTTTATAGGCAAATCTCAACCTCGATAATAATACATTGTATTATACCTATTTAATATCATATAAAATAAAGTCCCAAAATAGTGTTAGTTACACCGTTGTTAATAGCTCAAGAACGATTGAAACGACTGTCATAATTTTCAAAGATAAGTCTTAGCTGGAACTTACAAAATGATTATTTAAAAAATAAAAATATTGACAAAATACTATAAAAAAATAATTAGACAGAGAGACAATATATACGTAATTAAGGCAGTTCTTTATCATGTCATTTGAAAAGGTAAGTTTAAAATTTTAACTTTTTAAACTTACTTTTTTAATATTTCCTCAACAGTTACGAACAAAGCGATCACTCAGCACGTGAAGAACAGGGGGAGTTAAAGAATTTCGGTGGTGAAGAAGAGGAGGCAGTCGTGATGCGTGGCTCATACACTTGGTTAGGTCCTGACGGTGTCAATTACACAGTTAACTACGTCGCTGATGAAAACGGTTTCCAGCCCACAATTGATCAAGGACCCGGAGGTGCCGTCCCAGCGGGAGTAGTAGCATCCCTCCTTGGTTGATTTTAACCAACTATTAGGTCAATACTAGTCGAATTATAATTATATTTCTTTAAATATGTTGTTTTATTAGCTACTTGAAGATAATACTGAAAAAAAAAATTATCCTAAATAGAATAAAAACTCTTTTGTATTGTCGGTAATTAAAATTCATCAAAATAGGCTACGGAGTATGATAATGGTGTATGGTAATTAAAACCGTAACACGAGAATTTTATTTATTAATCTCTTTTGTATAATTTGTACAAATATTTTTTTAATCATTATATTTAACCCCCATATTTTTTTAAATAAATAGTTTTTACGTATTAAAATTCAAAATTAGTTTTCAACACAGCTGCGATGCTTGTGAATCTAATTGATTCGACAATAATACTTTATAAAGAAAGTCATTAGTTTATACCAAGTTATAACTTTTTTCACAGATCAAGACGAAAAAATACGAACGAAAAAATTCCAAAAATAAGTATTAACACATAGATAATACTTATATTTGGAATTTTTAAATTATGCGAGTGATATCAGTGGCAAAAAGTTATTAAAGTTTCCATTCTTTATTCTCACTCGCATCCTCAATTCTAAATTGTTAGCAATACTCAAAGGTTAAAAATAATAACTGAACCGCAATATTGGGAAACTATACTTTCGACATTTTAAATTTCCTCATAACCTTTGAACGTATGAACTGAAGTTATATTAATGGCCCTTTAATAAATTGCTCTTAACTTTAACGACCGCCGCTATCAAGTGACTCTCACGCGGTTTCCATGGTGTCTTTATTTCTGAAATTCTGGTAGCCTAATTGTCCAATATCAAAATCTATCACAATTCCTTTCAAACATATAGCAATTGTGATAAGGATTTATCGAGCATTTCAAGAAGAAAATCGTACTGATATTTGAAAGTTGTTGTCAAGTATATCGCTTAGGATAATTTTAACATATGAATCTAAAAGTAGAATAAAAATGGATGTAGTTTTAGTTTTCTTTATTTTTTAGTTTTCAAATTGGGACAAAGAGCCTGAAATTTCTCAAAAATATTTATTTTTAATTGAGAGACCCATAAGGTGTAAAAAACTATTGGTACTTCTCTAGAAGTAAAAAAATATAAAAAAATGTAATCAATCACCTTCATTGGTCTACCCTAGTGTTTCCATCACAAGTTAATTCAATATATTCTTACACGTAGGCGTCTGGTATGACACCTTTGTCACACATTTTCTAAGCTTGGTTCACGAAGCTTTTGATCTTTTAGAAATAGCTAGAATGATCTTTCTTTGTCCTTTATATGGTTCTTTACCTTCTTTTGTCTTCTTCACTCAAATTCTTTGTTCTCTCGCGTTCACTACATTTGTATTTTTCGTCTTCATTACTTTCCTAAACTTTTGATGACTTAATACACTTTCGTAACATCATCGTTCATATAAAAATTTCTATAAGAATAGGATACATGTTTTAATTCAGTTTGTTACACATTTGTCAATTTACGCTATAAAAATATGACAACAAGAAGGCATAGTGAACTTTAGGTGTATCTTTGTAATTTTATTTTTGTCATTTTGGCTAGTATAGTATTTATTTTTGGCTGAAACAGAACCCTAGAAATACATAATTTTCAAATTATAGCTAGTTTGGAAGATCTTTCTTAGTAAAAAACCAATCGAAAGATAACTCTCACCCACTTAATAATATCCAGTAACATAGCTAATTTATGAAGCATATCAATATATTAACAAATTATATTGATTTCAAATATGTAGATATAGGGGAGAGTAACCCATATTGGACCACTTTTGACATAACACAAAAAAAAACCTAAACCTTGTTAGTTACAGAAACTCAATTTGATTTAGGTGATAGCTTGGTATTCCAATTACAACATATTACGAACTTAAGATTCTTATCAAGTAAAACTATTTAAAAATATGCATCTACTGATAGTTGTCCTTCGGTCCAATTTATTGATCTAGTATTCTAAATTGTACCGCGGGATACATAAATTGTACCAAAGAAACCCACAGTATAAAATTTAGGTAGCATTCTCAAATAAAACTAAATTTTCGGTTATAATAATTTCTTTATTTATTATTATTATTATTAGGAACAATATTTTTGGTAATTCTAGAATCATCACAGGAACTTTTCTCTGAAATCTTAACTCAGGTGAACATATAATACTTCAACATAATAACAAATTAAAAATTAAGTTTTCATGTCGATATAATTAAGATTGAGTATTTCTTAAGTTTTGAACATATCGTAAATCTTTTATCTAATCAACAATAAAAAGGGAAAAATATAAATATTTTGCTTAATTATTAATTTAAACAATTGTCGCAGATGTCAGGGTTAGAGGTGCAGGTCTCGTGCAACCATTTGTGGCATCGTACACATTGTAATCATTCTACCTGTGGACCACTTTTATCAAATAATGTTTATTACATATCGCACATATATACATATAGCACATATATATTATAAAAACTGAACACGTTTTCGCGGTTAAACCCCTTTACCCTGTTAAGAGAAGTACTCTCAGGTTGTCTAATAGTAATTTGTGGATGACGTTTTTTAAATGCATAAAACCAACGTTTGCTAGCAATTTCATTTTCCTTATTAAATGAATGAGGAATTTGTTATATTCTGCAACTTGGTAAGCTAAACGCCGTACATTTTTGATTGTAAGACCAAACAAATGGTTTTCTAAAAGCAAAATATGGTTTATTATTTCCATTTCTTGTTCATGGGAGAAAACTGTTGGTCTTCCCTTATGAGTAGTATCTTTATTATCATACTTATTCTGCTGTTTGACGTGCCGTAAAATAGTTGGTTTTGGTACTTGAAACCTTCTAGAGATTTCGTTAATTCCATTTTTTTTTCCTTCATATGCTTGCAATGCCTTTTTCAAATCTTCTCTACTCCATTTATAATATTTTTTTTTGAGCAGTCTCCATCTAAAGCAAATCTAAAACCAGGATTATTTTTCTCATTCAAAGAAGATGCATAAATTGTACCGGTCTAATTTTGGAACCACATACAGGTCCAATATAGGCTACACGGTGAATCGACAACAATCTTAAAAAAAACAACAACATAACCTGAAGCAACTGATTTGTATTCGTGATGCACAAAAACAGCAGGAATTGTGCTTTCTTATAAAATATAGTTTTGAATGACTACTAACCTTTTTATTTAGCTACCTTCTTAGACAATATACGTAAAAAATACACCAAAACACAAAAAAAAAGTTTTTCACTGTCACTCCCGTGTCATCTGTCGTAAGAAGAAATAAAATGGCGCCGTGACAGTGGCACTATAATTGCTTCGTTGTATGTTGGCAGTGTAGAATAATGGCACCAATTAGTAGGAAATATGAAGGTGGTATAATTTAGGAGTCAGTACAATATAGGTTACTCTCCCCTAATACATACCAATTAATGTCGAAAAAATAACACTGGGTTTAATTTTAGTAATTAATTAATTTAGTCTTTCAACCGTCGGTAAAACTATGCATACATAAAATAATACGTAGTACACTTTCATTTGTTAATGTAAATAAAACTAGAACTTCGATTTTCTTAATATTCGTTACCTAATTCTATCTATCGACTTCACACCAAAGGTGAATTACTTTTAAATTTAAAACACTGTCTGAGATGGTTCACTTGTAAATAGAGGTACAAGTGCGTTTTGATCCACTATGAAACACTTCATTTGTAAAAAATATATAAATAAACAGTTTTCATAATTTCTATTATCAACTTGTAAAGGTAATGTTTCTATGGTTTCTATAATAAAACTAAAATAATATCTAATTAAATGAACATTGAAATGTGGTGATGATAACGGGTCGTGACCTACTTCACGGATCACTTTGTGCCGGATTATGGTTTTTCGGTTAATAAAATTTCATCATGGATCTGGATGAACAATTTTTTGCGAACATGGTCAGTCCATCAGCTTTGAGCTGCGGCCTTTAGCCCTCTCCCCGTCCACAGAGCCAATCACCATTAATCTGTCCTCGGTCTTCCTGGCATAGTAAGTTGGTGAGTTTCACCCCATCAATGCTCAAACCGCCCACCAGTTTTCACAGATACGACACATGATGTACTCACCGTATATTTTGAATAGAACGGGGACAGTATACGGCCTTGATGAACTCCTTGTTCAAAATGGAAGGATTTGGATTTGATATTTGCACTCTGAAAATGCCTTCGTTGTTTTGGTATAGATTATGTTCTAGAGATATCAGGTGTTTTGGTACTTCAAGTTCTGTCAAGACTTTCCTAATTCAGTTCCAGTTGACGCAGTCGAAAGCCTTAGAGTAGTGTACGGAACACATTATAATGAGAAATTATGTTCGTAAGTTTTCTGGACGAGTTGTATCACGTTCAGTATGTATTCCCGAGGTCCCCTGCCTTTGGCGAACCCGCCTACTCTTGTGGAATCTTTGAATCTGGATAAGAGCGGATTCGATTATGAAGTATGCGTAGCAATGCTTTGCTAGTATGCAATGTTAAGGCTTAGGTTCGGTAGTTCCCATACTTATTCGTGGATCCTTTCTTTTGAAATGACTCTGTCCAGTCCTTAAGCCATACTCCAGTTCGCCAGATATTGTCAATGACCTTTTTGTAATGCGTCAATTCCTAGATAACCCAGTGTCTTTATAACCTCCACTGCAATTTCGTCTGGTCCAGGAGCTTTTTATTTTTTGAGCGCGTTTAGATCTGCTTCTACTTCCGATATTCTTAAGGATGGTTCTTGTTCTACAAACTGGAAGTAAAATTATATTATTATAAATCTATGATTAGAAGCTAGAGCATCTAAGATTTAAGGAAGTTACAAAGAAGCTTCTTGTCTTTATCATAAGCTTATCATCAAATACTATGCTTCTTCTTTGTTCTATGAAGATGCTAGGTATCCATGATCTAAGCTGTGCAAAAGTTCAGAACAGTAACAAAGATCAAAAAGTTTATAGATGGTTTATAGTATATATTAAACATT